CAAGAGGGGAAACTTTGATTTCCAAGATAGCCTTTGAGCTAAGTTTTTTTGAGCACTAATCTCAAATCACAGAATAATATGTTTTTAAACATAAAGAACTAAGCATTTTTGGGAGTAGTATTGAGCACCGATATGGGGGAGAGTTCAAACAACTCACAGCCCCCATAAACCATGTAGCCATCATGGGTAGAAAAAGGGTCATACTTGTAACATCCGACAATTTGAAATAGATAAGAAGAGGCTTGAAATTTGGAAATTTTCAATTTTTCAAAGGATTTGAAAATCTGGAAAATTTTGGCCAAGTATGGAAAAGGTGAGTTTTTGGCCAACTTTGGGCAGTCATAACTTCTAGCTCAAGATGAGTTAGGAGTATTTTCAGTTATGGTTGTTAAGCTTGTGGAACGATCTTTCCAACGCCACAGAATTTGCTCGATTCCGAGTTCGTAGGAGTGAGTTATGGCCTTTGAAAGTTGGGCAGTTGACAGGGCATCCGCCCGGAAATTTAAGGGCATTTTGGTCTTTTCACAAATCATTTCTTTTGAGGTTATATTGTTGTGTTAGGCTGATGGTGGATCATTTTTGTTCCATTTTAAAAGAGTAAAAGCTAGGGCTTGAGAGTGAAGGAGAGAAGAAGAGGAGGAGGTCGTGATATGGTTGTGATTGAGACAGGTGATGTGTAATACTATGATGTGGTTGAGATATGGTTGTGATTGAGACAGGTGATGTGTAATACTATGATGTGGTTGAGATATGGTTGTGATTGAGACAGGTGATGTGTAATACTATGATGTGGTCGTGATATGGTTGTGATTGAGACAGATGATGTGTAATACTATGATGTGGTCGTGATATGGTTGTGATTGAGACAGATGATGTGTAATACTATGATGTGGTCGTGATATGGTTGTGATTGAGACAGATGATGTGTAATACTATGATGTGGTCGTGATATGGTTGTGATTGAGACAGATGATGTGTAATACTATGATGTGGTCGTGATATGGTTGTGATTGAGACAGATGATGTGTAATACTATGATGTGGTCGTGATATGGTTGTGATTGAGACAGATGATGTGTAATACTATGATGTGGTCGTGATATGGTTGTGATTGAGACAGATGATGTGTAATACTATGATGTGGTCGTGATATGGTTGTGATTGAGACAGATGATGTGTAATACTATGATGTGGTCGTGATATGGTTGTGATTGAGACAGATGATGTGTAATACTATGATGTGGTCGTGATATGGTTGTGATTGAGACAGATGATGTGTAATACTATGATGTGGTCGTGATATGGTTGTGATTGAGACAGATGATGTGTAATACTATGATGTGGTCGTGATATGGTTGTGATTGAGACAGATGATGTGTAATACTATGATGTGGTCGTGATATGGTTGTGATTGAGACAGATGATGTGTAATAGTATGATGTGATCGTGATATGATTGTGATTGATGACATGTGCATATTCATTATTCATCCCATGTGTGAACTATCTGTTGCATGAGTTCTGAGACACTGATATGAGGATGGATGGATATGAGACACAGTTGAGACTAGCTCCGGCTAGCGATTTGGATGCCGATGGGATCTGGTTCCGGCGGTGATACATGGTCCATGTGTGGCCCCCATGGGTTCTGATTTGAGTATTCAGCGCGGACTGATTACGTCAACAGATGTGTATCGTAGGATAGACATGCATCACGACTACATGACATCATTATTGCATTTGCATCGCATTTCACTTCATCTTTGTCTGTGGTGTGTGGATTTTACCTATTTGCCCCTCTTCATGTGATATATGATCTATTTGCTCTTATATGAGGATATGAGGTTGATTTTGAGACACTGTTGGATATATATGTTGATTAT